TGCTGTTGTAAACAAAGCAGCAATAAACATGGTGTGCATATCTCTGCTGGTGACAGTTCTGGTTTCTTTAAGATATATAGTAGTGGAATTGCTGGGTCAAATGGTATTTCTATTTGCAACTTCTTGAGAAAGTGCCATACAGCCTTCCATAGTGGTTGCACCATTTTACACTCCCACCAACAAGGAATAAGGGTTCCAGTTTCTCTGCAACCTTGCCAGCATTTGTTGTTTGCTGCTCTGTTGAATTTTGCTATTCTTACTAGGCTAAGTGATATCTCACAGTTGTTTTGATTTGCATCTCTCTTAGATTTAGGGGTTTTGAGCACTTCCTGTGTTTGTAGGCCATCTGAATGTCTTCTTTTGTGAAGTGTTCATATCCTGTGTCCATTTTTCAATTGGGTGTTTACCTTTATCTTGTTGTGGTGACTTATACATGTTTCAGAAGTTATCTATTTTTGCAATAATGGTCTTATACAGTATTTGTCCTTATGGGATTGAGTTATATAATTTAGCATAATGTTCTCCAGTTCCTCCCAAGTTAGGTAGCAATTCATGAAATCCTTGCTTCTTCAGTAGCTTTTGAAGCTGTGAGAACAATCCCTTAAACCAAGAGCCACATCCTGGTCCTCAAGGGGAAGACGAAGTTTACCCAGAGTCACCTCCTGCTCTTGACTTCCCTTCTTCATTTCCTTCTCACTTGTGACCTTGACGAATTTGATCATTAAAAGGGAGAGTGTCTTATCTGCAAGAAGTTAAGCCATCCAGAATGGGGCACAGGGCAGTTACACTGCATAGCCAGAGGCCTGCTGGCTACAGTGGTCCTTTAGGGCTGGGGTGGGAGATGACTGGGGAAGGAGAAGATGAAAGAAACAGATTCCTGTCTTTGTGTCTTAGTCCTGTTGTTAACTGAAGTGCCTCAGGTAGGTGGCTTTGACAAACAAAAAATTATTTTATAAATTTACTTAAAGTTAGGAGACCAATTTTATAAATTTACTTAAAGTTAGGCACTGCCTTTAGGTGGGGATTCCTGGTGGCATAGTGGTTAAAATGTATGGCTGCAAACTGCAAGGTTGGGGGTTTGAAACCATCAGCCACTCTGTGGGAGAAAAATGAAGCAGCCTGCTTCCAGAAAGATCTGCAGCCTCGAAGCACCATGGGACACTTCTATTCTGCCCTGCCGGGTCACTGAGCTTGAGACAACTCAACTGTACTGGACTTGGCACTAGAAGAAGGCACTCTCTCCATCCACTCTGAAAGAAAGTCTTTGTTTCTGCTTCCCTAGTCTCTGTATAGGAGTCCTGGTGCTTCAGTGATGGAATAATGCAGCTGCTAAGCCAAAGGGTAGGGAGTTAAACCCACCAGCTGTTCTGCCGCCGCAAGATGTGGCAGTTTGCTGTGTGACTATTTACAGTCTTGGAGACCCCATGAAGGATTTCTACCTTGTCCCATAAAACCCCAGAGAGGTGGACTGACACGGTGACTGCAGCAATGGCCTCAAGCATGTCAGAGCGGATGAGGGTGGCGCAGGAGAGGGCAGGATTCAGGTCTGTTGTTCATAGGGTCGCTATGAGTTGTGCTTGAAAACACCTAATAATATAAACAACATAAAGTCTCTATCTCCAAAGTTTATCAGTGGTTTTCATGAGACGGAGGAACAGGAGAATGGGCATTATGGCTTGCAAGGTGGTAGATTTCTATTTAGCACCTAATGACAGTTGCATAGCATGTGTTGTTGAATAGCACAGCACAGTGACTATGATTAATATTATGTGCCATCGAGTCACCTGCAACTGTTAGTGACCCTGTGTACAGCAGCTCTGAAGCCTGCCCTGTCCTGAGCCAGTCTCACTGACTCTGACACACCAACGCCATTGCCTTACTTACTGTGTCAATGAATATCATCCACGAAGAAAGCAAAAGATCATCACAAAGACAGAGGAAGAAGAAAAGTTCCAGATGGATATCAGAAAAGACTCTGAATATTGCTGAGAATATTAGACCACCCAGAAGCCAAAGCAAAGAGAAGAAATCAGGAAGGAGCTGAAAAGTCAATTTCAAAGGATAGCTTATGAAGATAAAGCAACATATTACAAAGAAATGTACAAAGAGCTGAAGTCAGAAAGTCAAAAGGAAAGAACTTGCTCAGCATTTGTCAAACTGAAGGATCTGAAGAACAAATTCAAGCCGCAAATTGCAATACTTAAAGATGAAGCTTCAAAATCCTAGCCTTCAAGGAGATATTTGGTTTCACCCTTCCCAAGATACACCTATTTGTTTTCTCAGTGGTTCATGGTATATTCAATTCTCTTCCCCAGCACATTCAAAGGCACCAATTCTTCATCTGTCATCTTTAATCATTGTCCAGCTCTCTGATGCAAAGCAAGTAATTGCAAAGACCATGGCCTGGATCAGGTGCATCTTAGTCTGGCTGACTTCACTGCTTCTCAGTATTCTGGAAAGGTCCCTGACAGCAGATTTTCCTAGTGCAATTTGTCTTTTGATTTTCTGACTGCTGGTTCCAAAAATGTTGATTGCAAAGCCGAGCAAGCTCAAATTGTTATCAACATCAGTCTCTTCTCCATCCATCATGGTGCTGCCAATTGGCCCAGTGGTGAGAATCTTTGTCTTCTTGATGTTGAGCTTCAATCCATATTGAAGACTACAGTCCTTGACTTTCTGCATCAAGTGCTTCAGGTCCACCTCAGTTTCAGCAAGCAATATTGTGCCATTTACATAATGTAGACTGTTGAGGAGTCTTCCTTCAATCCCGATGTCACATCCCTCTTCATAGAGCCCAGCCTCTTGAATAGCACTGTAATATATATTTGCCCCTACAATAAAAAAAAAATATGATTTTGTACACTGTCATTCTAGAGCTGAAGTATGCCTAATCCAGATCATGGTCTTAGTAATTACTTATTATGCATCAGAGAGCTGGACAATGACTAAGGATGACAGAAGAAGAATCAATGTCTTCGAGTTGTGGTGGTGGAGAAGAATCTTGAACATACAATGGAACACTGAGAAAACAAATAGTTCTGTCTTGGAAAGGATGAAATCAAGTTTCTCTTTTTGGAGGCTAGGATTCTGAAGCTCTTATCTCACATACTTTGGGCACATGTCCAGGAGGGACCGGCCCTTGGAGAAGACATCATGGGTGGAAGGATAGTGTAGGAGAGGAAGATCCCAGATGAGACGGATTAATACAGTTAAGTAGGACAATGGGGGTGGGGGTGTTGGAGTCAGTGAGACTGACTCGGGGCAGGGCAGACTTCAGAGCTATTGTACATACGGGCTATGAGTCAAAGGCACTTGATGTCACATAACAACACTTAGCTTTTCATAAAAATATCTCTTAAGTAAATAAAAGTACAAAAATAAGCAAAACAAAACACAGGGTTTCCATGAGTCAGAATAGACTTGATGGCACTGGGTTTAGGCTTTGTCATTTAGCTTTGATATTCCTCAAAGCCACGGTGGTATCTACACATCTGTCTTTCTCCCATTGGTGCTTGCTGATCTCTGTGTCTAAGCTGTTGTTAGGTGTCATCATTTAGGTACCAAGTTAGAGTGACTCTACATACAACACACGGGAACCCTGGTTCTCAGTTGTCCTCACAATTGTGGCCTGTTTAGGCTCATTGTTGCAGCTACTATTTCACTCCACCTCATTGAGGGTCACCTTCTTTTTCACTGACCCTCTACCAAGCATGTTGTCCTTCTCCAGAGAATGTCTCTTCCTGGTAACATGTCAAAAGTGTGTTAGTATTAGGGGAGCTCTGGTGGCCTAGTGGCAAGGAGCTGCAACTACAATCCCAGAGCCGCACGGTTCAAATCCACCAGATGCTCTGCCGGAGAAGGAGGGACAATCTCCTCTTGTACCAGTCAGATCTGATTTGACGGTACACTCACACAAAAATAATAAAAAGTAAAATTTTTTTTAAAAAGTGTGCTAGATAAAGTTCCACCACTCTTGCACCTGAGAAATGGCTTGCCTGCACTTATTCCAAAAGAAATTTGGTTCTTCTAGGAGGCATGGTATATGGAACACTCTTTGCCAACACCATCATTCAAAGGCATAAGTTCTTTTTCAGTCTTCCTTATTCATTATCCAACCTTCATAAGCACCCTAGGCAAATGATAACACCACAGCGTGGGTCACAACACCTTAGTCCTCAAAGTGATATCTTTGCTTTTTGAAATAGTTTTAAATAGATCTTTTGCAGAGGATTTGCCTGATATAATACATATTTGATTCCTTGATTGCTAATTCCATGGGAATTGTTAACCCAAATGTCCTTCTTTTTCTTGATCATGTTGCTTATTGGACTACTTGTGAAGGTCTTTGTTTTGAGGTGTATTCCATACCAAAGGCTGTATGTAGTCAGTCTTTGATCTTCATTAGGTTTCTAGTCCTCTTTGCTTTCAACACATAGGGTTACATCATTTGTATTCCAAAAGTTATTGATGAGTCTTCCCCCAATCCTGATGCTGCATTCTTCATATAGTCCAATTCCCCAGATTATTTTCTCAGTATACAAACAATGACTATACATCCACACGGACCTCACCTGATGATCTACTTAGGAATCAGCTTGATTATATCTGTCTAAAGAATCGCTGAGAAGCTCAGTATCACTTATGAAAACTAGGCCAGATGCTGACCCAGAAACATTTCAGGAAGTAGCAAACGATCAAGAACCAATGGCAATAAAGAAAGAAGTTCAAGCTGCTCTGAAGGAATTGGCAAGAAATAATGGTCCAGGAATTGATAGACTATCAGTTGACATATTTCAACAAAGAGATGCAGCCCTGGATGTGCCCACCAGATTGTGCCAAGAAATCTGGAGTAACTTGCCTACTAACTGACTAGAAGAGATCCAGACTTATTTTTATTTCCAAGAAAAAGGTGATCCAACTTTCCTTTCCAATCTGCCATCCATGGTGGGACCACTGTCAAGATACAGATTTTCGTAAAAACCCTCACAGGGAAGATCATCATGCTCGAGGCTGAACCCTCGGATGCAATCAAGAATGTCAAGGCCAAGATCCGGGATAAGGAAGGAATTCCTTTTGGTCAGCAAAGACTCATCTTTGCTGGAAAGCATCTGGGAGATGGGCAGACCCTGTCTGACTACAACATCCAAAAGGAGTCCATACTTCATCTTGTATTGAGACTTCGTGGTGGTGTTAAGGAAGAAGAAGTCTTACTCCACTCCCAAGAAGAATAAGCATAAGAGAAAGAAGGTTCAGCTGGCTGTTCTGAAATACTAGAAAGTGGATGAGAATGGCAAAATTAGTTGGCCTTTGTTGGGAATGTGTTTCAGATGAGTGCGGCGCTGGAGTTTTAATGGCCAGCCGCTTTGACAGACACCACTGTGGCAAGTGCTTCTGACCTATTGCTTTAACAAATGAGAGGACAAGTAATTATGAGTTAATAAAAGATACGAATTAACTTTTTTTTTTTAAAAAGGTGATCCAATAGACAGTGGAAATTATGGAACAGTATCACATGTAAGCAAAATCATGCTGAAGATTATCCAAAAACTACTGGAACAGGACATTGACAGAGAACTGCTAGGCCGTGGTACTAGGGACATCATAGCCAATGCCAGATGGATCTTGGCTGAAAGTAGAGAGCATGAGAACGATGTCTGTTTTTATGTTATCAACTATGCAAAAGCATTTTATTGTGTGGATCATAACAAACTGTGGCTAATTATAACAAGAATGGCAATCCCTGAATACTTGATTGAGCTCATATGAAACCTATACCAAGACCAAGAGGGCAAGAGGACCCTTTGGCACTCAAAATTAAGAAAGGAGTGTATCAGGGATGTTTTCTTTCTCCATATCTTTTAAATTTATATGTTGCACAGATTATGTGACATCAGCATTGGAAGAAGATTCATCTCCAACGTGTGCTGTGCAGATGACACATTTTTGCTTCCCCCAAACTGAAGAGAACCTGAAGTGTTTGTTGCAGAAGGTCAAGGACTATGGATTGAAGCTCAACATCAAGAAAACAAAGATCCCCAACACCAGGTCAATAATGTGCACCATTATAGATGGAGAAAAGACTGAGGGTGTTGACATCTTCGTCTTGTTTGGATCCAGAATCAACACTCTTGGCACTAGCAGTTAGGAAATACAAAGACTAGCTGCATTGAGAAAATCCGCTGTCAAGGACCTCCCCAGAGTGCTGAAGAGCAACAATGCCAGTCCAGAGACAGAGGTGTGACAGATCCAGGCCATGGTCTTCTCAATTGCTTGTTACACATCAGAGAGCCGGACAATGACTACCGACAAAAGAAGAAGAATCAATGCCTTTGAGTTGTGGTGCTGGAGAAGAGACTTGAACATACCATGGACTTACAAGAAAACAAACAAGTCTGTCCTCGAGAGGGTGAAAACAGGTTGTTTCTTAGAAGCTCCATCTCACATGCTTTGGCCAGGTAGCCAGGTGGGACCAGTCCTTAGAGAAGGACATCATGCTTAGAAGGGTGGAGAGACAACACAGGAGAGGAGGATCCCAGATGAGCTGGATCAACACTGTGACTGTGGCAATGAGGTCAGATGATGGGGGGGTTGGCTCAGGATAGGATAGTGTTCAGGACCATGGTTCTTAAGGTCACTCTGAGTCATAGGCGACTCGACAGCACATAACAACGACGATAGACAGATTGAGTACGTTTGGTGAAGAGATAACAGACACACCACCTTTCTGATTTTTAAGCTCCACAGCATTCTCTTGTTCTTTTGAAGGACTGCCTTTGTTTATGTAAATAAGCAAAACAAGACCCCCTGTGGGACAGGGCAGAGCCATCCTCCACACAGTCTTCTTGGATGCGGTGCCACTGGGCCGACTCAACCATTCACCTTCCACTTTCCAACCTAGTGCCGGCTGTTTGTGTCACTTGAGGATAACTTCTCTGCATCTGGATTTCTCTTTAAGCACCCCTGCTGCTCATGTTGGGCTGTTAACAGGAAGTTCAGATGTTTGAATGCACCAACCTCTCCCAGGGGGACAGATTAGGGTATCTGCTTCCTTTACGATTTATGGCCTTGGAAACTCGATGGAGGGGCTGTAGGAGTGGAAATCTATGGCAGTGAGGTTGGCTTTGGTGGCTGAAGGATTATGCACTTGGCTGTAAGGTTGGTAGTTTGAACCCACTGGTCAACTCTGAGAGAAAAGACTTGGAAATAAGTTTCCCGTGGATTGTTGTTGTTGTTGTGTACCGTGGAGTCAGAACTAATCCATAGCTGACCGTCCAGCAGGTTTTCAGAGGTACTAAATCGCCCAGGAGCAGCTGATGGGTTTGAACTGCATGCCTTCAAGATTGCAGCACAGTTTCTTACCACTAGGCCATCAGTGTTCCTAGAAAACCCTACATGGGCAGTTCTTGTCTGCCCCAGATGGTTCCATCTACTCAGTGTCACAGGGCCAACACACCAACCCGACTGTCTTCACACCTAGAATTGATGAGGTTTGGGACACACCCCACACTCACAGGGCCTCAATAGCCTAAAGTTTCTATCTAAATTCCATTCCTAAATGGGATTAAATCCATAGATATAAGGGGTTAGGATCCCAACACATGTTTCTGGGATACAACATAATTGGAATAATTGTGGGGGAAGGGAAGCTCAGAGCCCCCAGGCTATTTGAGAGAGAGGCCTTCCAGGCCCTAGTGGTGGGGTGACCAGGGCTTGGTGGATGGAGTAGGTCCAGGCAGGGCCAGTGAGTCGTGAGCAGCAGCTCGCAGGGACCTCTGGTCAGAGCTGGGCAGACCTCCGGCTGCCTCTGCGTCCAGCTATCTGCGCATGCCCAGTCATCAGGGCTCTGTGTTATTTGAGAAGATGAGTGTGTTTCTTTGTCTACAGGCCTTAGCTTGGACTCAACTGTCTCAGAACGAGAGATGATGGAACTGAGCCACAGAGCAGGTAGGCTGGGAAGATCAGGGACCAGGGCCTCCCGGTTGTGGGAGAGGGCCCCTGAGAACAGCAAAGAGCAGCACCCTCTCTTCTCCCTCACTCTCGCTTTGTCCCCAGATCCACCGTCCAGTTGCTGATGTCATAGGAGCCTTCAGTTTGAAGATGGAGGAAGGGATTAGCACATTTGTTAGGCCTTCTCCCATCCTGCCAATCCTGGGGATTGTGACCCCAAGACAGTCCCCATTGCAAGAGGGGAGGGGGGAACTCGAGGTGGATGAGGAGAATGAGGGGGCCCCAGTGAAGTAATGGGACTGGAAACCAGGTGCAGATGCGAGAGCCCCCGGATTAGCCCTGGAAGAGCAGGGCTGAGAGCAGATGAGTAAACAGGGCTTTGGGAGTGAGGAGGAAGGCCCGCTTGGCCTGCTGTGGTTGAAACTCGCAGTTAAGAGGAGAAACAGCCCCAGTCAATCTCCTTACCTATGAGGCTCCCTCTTGATTTAGAAAAGGGTGGGGTTTGAGATGAGGGAAGGGAACTAAGAGGCCAGGTCTTTTGCTCACACCGCTGTGTCTCAAAGGTGGACAGGATAGGGCTGGAGCCTCTAGTGCCTAAAGCAATGTGGGACACGCCATGGGGTGCTTGGGGCCCATTGTTCCAAGCTTCTCACCACACTGCTGCCTCTGACTTCTTTCTGCCCTTGCCTCTTTGGGCTCTGTGTCTGTCTGTACCCAACAACCCCATCCGTGTCCTTGTCCTGCCTCCTCTTTCTGAGTCTGTCTGTCTTGCTTTGTCCCACCTCAGGTACAACCACTTTGCCCATGGCCCTGCTGGACAACAAGGAGGCCCAGAAGGACGCGGACGCCCCGAGAACCACTCACAGCCTCTTGGGCAGCTCGGAGTTGAGGTGCAGGGCCCCACTCTCCCCACAGCCATCCTGTGGAGGCAGTGCCTGGGGCAGCCAGAGCAGGCTGTCCCAGAGGGAGAAGGTGTCCCCTCTGCCCTCGACGGCCATGAGCAGACAGTCCCCATGGAGGCACCCAGAGCCCAAGATCCTTGGTAAGAAGAGCTGCAGCCCATCTGGGAGTGAGGACAAGGGTGCTTTCCCAGAGGGGCCTCTGCTAGACCAGGGGCCGGAAGGAGGTGCTGGCCTGGGGGCCCAGGACCACAGAGACTCACCCATGTGCTGGGAGAAGAGCGTCATTCCTGACAACATTCGCCACAAGTTTGGGAGCAACACAGTGGATGAGCTGGTCACTGAGAAGCAGGTGACAGATTAGAGGGGTGGAGGCTGGGGGCGGGAGTGGGGTGTCAGGGGGTCCCCATGAAGACCTAACATAAGGACCCCAAAGAACCCTACCTGGTGCCATGGAGTCATTGCCAAGTGATCCTGAGACAGAGTGGAGCTGCCCAATGCGGTCCAAGACGACATTTAAAAGTTGGGGTTTCCACAGTCAACACTCTTGGCGCCAGCAGCCAGGAAATCAAAAAACGTATTGCGATGGGAAAGTCTGCTGTTAGGGACCTCTCCAAAGTACTCAAGAGCAATGGTGCCTCTCTGGAGACTAAGGTGCACCTGATACAGGCTATGGTCTTTGCAATCACTTGTTATGCATCAGAGAGTTAGACAATGACTAGGGAGGATAGAAGGAGAATTGATGCCTTTGAGCTGTGGTGCTGGAGAAGAGTATTGAATGTACCATGGACTGCCAAGAAAACAAACAGATTCATCCTGGAGAGGGTTAAACCAGGCTACTCCTTGGAGACAAGGATTCTGAGGCTCCGTGTAACATATTTTGGACATGTTGTAAGGAGAGACAGGTCCTTGGAGAGGGACATCATGCTTGGGAGGGTGGAGGGACAGTGCAGGAGGGGAAGACCCTCTATGAGGTGGATTGATTCAGTGACTGGGGTAATCGGGATGGGTGTGTCAGAGACAGTGCGATTGGCACAGGACAGAGCAGGGTTTAGGGCTGTTGTACATAGGGTTGCTGTGAGTTGCAAACGACTCAATGGCACATAACAACAACAACAACAACAACATACCTTCAAATAGGATCTGACAGGTACAGGAGGAGATTGTCTCTCCTTCTCCAGCAGAGCATCTGGTGGATTCAAACCACATATCTCTGGAATTGCAGTGCAGCTTTTTGCCACTAGGCCACCAGAGCTCCCTCCAAAACGACAGTTTTATAGAAGCTGATGGCCAGTCTTTCTCCGATGTACTAGCTAGTGGGTTTGCACCAGCTAAATGCTTAACTGCAATCCATCAGAGAATAATAAAAAACCCCATTAATACTACTGTTATTATTGTTGCCAAGCACTCTTGGGGACTTGTGCTTCCTGTGACTTGGTGACTAACTGTGGGACCCCTGCCTTGTCCTGCACTGTCTTTACAAGCCCAAGGTCATGCTCAAGCCCACTGTTGCAGACAAGGTGCCAAGGTCATTGAAGGCCTTCTCCTTTGCGGACATTCTCATGGTCCAAACATAATGCCCTGGTGACACAGTGCCTTAACCAAATTTGGGGAGTGGGGCAGCTGCTAACTGAGAGATCAGTAGATCAAATCCACCAGCTGCCCTGCAGGAGAAAGATGACCAGTCACTTCCATAAAGACTCAGAACCTCAGAAAGCCTGTGGAGGGGCGTCTCTCCTCTGTCCTAGGAGCCGCAGTGAGCCGGAGGTGACTCACAGCTGTGGCTTTACTTTTGCTAGAAGGACTTCTCCCAATGCTGCTCAGAGCAGATGTTCAATGCGGAGAGGGGTTTGTGATGACTGTTATCCTTTGTGCCCCGATCCTGGTGTGTGTGTGTGTGTGTGTGTGTGTGTGTGTGTGTGTGTTCCCAGTTCCAGGCCCCAGGGATTTGTGGAGGGCTGTAGGCTTAGGGTTGGGTAAAGCCTTAAGGGGGAGGATATAGGGTCACAGAAAGGAGGAGTTAGAAGGAAGATGTTGGACTTGACCCTTATCTCCTCTCCTCCCTGCTCAGGCTCGAAGGGCCATCCATGAAGACATGCAGAAGAGGCCAAGCTCATGGCCCACTGGGACCCAGACCCCTGTGGATATCTCCTCCGCCTTCTCAGACTACTATGACTTGGGCTACAACATGCGGGCAAACTTGTTTCAAGGTCAGGCCCGAGGGCAAGGGTGTGGACATTTGTGGTTATGACAGATTGGCTAGAGAAGCCTTTCGAGTTATTTACCCCTTCCTGAACCTCACATGGGGCCTGGGCACCCTGGGGTACACCTCTAGGGGAATTCATTTCAGGATCACCAAGAACTTCCTTTACACCAGTACTGGGAAGGCTTGTCTCTTTGACAAGTTAATTGGTTACACTCTCCACAATCCCAGGTAACAGTCATTCCCTGGCTTATGATTTGCCAATGTGAAGCCAGGGCACTGCTGGCCAGGACACCTTTGGTTGCAGTGGTACTATGATGCTCTCCTGAGTTCAAAGCTCACCTCTGCCACTCACTAGCTAGGTGAACTTGGACAAGACCCTTCCCCTCTCGGAGCCTCAGTGGGCTCGCAGCACCCTGGAGTGAACACTACTATGGCCTCCTTGGGGTTGGCAGGACTGTGGGATACTGAGCAGGGCAGTACTTGGTCTGTGGCTTCTGATAATTCTTCTTCCCGAGAGTCTAGAGGTGAGGTCTGCTGGGAGGAGGAAAGGTGGGTTGGAGATTCCCACAGTATTCCTTTGTGGGTCAGCGTCGTCCTGACTAAGTTCGTTGTTAGGTGACCCTGAGTAAAACAGATCAAAGCTCTGCCTGATCCCGGCACCATCCTCCTGATCCTGGCTGTACTGTCGCAGCCTTTGTGCCAGCCCATCTCACTAAGGATCTTCACTGACCCTCTCCTTTTCCGACCATGATGCCCTTCTCCAGGGAACTAGCCTCTCTTGGTAACAAGCCCAACATATTTGTGACAAAGTCTCACCATCCTTGCTTCTAAAAAGCATCGTGGCCAAACTTCTTCCAAGACAGATCAGCTGGTTCTTTTGGCAGCTCACGGTACGCTCAAAATTCTCTGCCGACATCACAATGCAAAGGTGTCATTTTTCTCCAGTATTCCACATTCATTTTCCACTTTCGTATTTATATGAAATGATTTAAATGACCATGGTTTGAGGCAGGTATCCCTTAGTCTTTACAGTGACATCCCTGCTCACCCATATTTAAAGGTCTTTGGTAGCAATTTTCCGAATGCAATATGTCCTTTGGTTTCTTGATCCCTGCTTACATGGGTGCTGATTGTAGACCCAAGTCAAAGAAACTCCTTGATAACTTTGATCTTATTTCACTAATGATGATGCTTATCGGTCCAGTTTTAAGAATAGTCTTTGAGCTTCATCAAGATGTGCTTCAAGTCTTCATTTTCTGCAAGCAAGGCTGTACCATCTGCTGTTTGCTTAGTTGTTGTTTGCCATCAAAACCCATCCATGGCTGACCTCCAGTGGGTTTTCGGAGGCAGTAAATTGCATGAGAGGAGACTGCCCATCTTTCTCCCATGAAGCAGCCGATGGATCCACACCAGGTACATTGTAGTTGCCAGAGCAATTCCTTAACACTAAGCTACCCCGTCCCACATACATTGGGCATGCGGCCAGGAGGACCAGTCCTTGGAGAAGGACGTCATGCTCGGAAGGGAAGAGGGACAGCAAAGAAGAGAAAAACACCAGATGAGATGGGTTGACATGGTAACTGGTGCAATGGGATTAGGTGTGTCAGAGTCTGTGAGACTGGCTCAGAATGGGGCAGGATTAAGAGCTGTTGTACACAGGTTTGCTATGAGTTACAGGCGACTCGATGGCACATAACAGCACAACAACAAGCCACCAGAGCGCCCGTGCTGATTGTTCAGTGACAGTACTATGCATTGCTCCATTCCATTCACAGAAAGATTGGAGACAAGTTGCCCAGACTTTTCCTTCACAGGAGGGAGATCTGTGGTTCTAATTCAACTTTTTCTTCTGTTTCCAAACACTGCCGTCTTTCCCTGGCACTCTCAATTCCCAAGAGTCATCTGGACTGCTCTGCTGGGGTTCTGTGGTCAGCGTGCAGGGACTTTCCCCTGCCCCCACATTCTCTTTGCAGCCTGTCATGTTACCTCTTTCTTGCCCTCCTGCTTCCTCCCTGTGCTGGCAGACCTCTTCCTTTGGCACTGATCCCTGCCACCCAGGGAACCCAGTGGAAGCCTTTCTGGGTTTCCCTTGGAGCTTATAGCAGAGGTGGTGGGGGTGGGGAGAAGGCAAGAGAAATACAGCTGAGATTCTCCTCTTGCCTGGCCCTAAATTGTGTTCCAATTTAATCCTTAACAAAGACACACAAAGCACCCGTCACCTCTAAACTTACGTGAAAATGCACACGAATATGTGAAAACATCATATACAAACATTTGCGTACCCATCCATCATCCAGCCGGAGAAACAGAGCTGGGCCAAAGACGCTCTGGAGCCGGCCCACAGCAGCTCACAGGAGTCAACTGGTGACTTCTGTGAGATGATTAGTGTCCTCACTGCACCTCTTTCAAAACGTAATTTACCTTGTATGTTGTTGAGAACACACACAGCAGAACATATAGTCTGGACAAGCTTCTCCTTGTCCAGTTCGGCGGCATTGATCACATCGAGTCCCACAACCATCCAGCTTCCTTTTCCGAGCGGCTCCTACCCCCTCGACATAAACTCACTGACCCCTCAGGATCCTGTCTAGTCTTTTGGGTTACTGCTGTCAATCTGACCCCACCCAGCTAGATCTTAAAAGAACACAAGGCTCAAAAGCATTCTTTACTATTCGTGCAGAACTATTGTTTGGTTTTAAGGAGACTTAAGGTGATATTTCTAGTTTAAGGATAAATTCAGGGTGACAATTTTAGGGGGACCTCATGATAGTATCTTAACATCAGTCCTGGTGGTAGCATTTATACTCCAGAAACTGGCGGGTGCTACAGGGAGCTTTTACTGGCCCCGGAACACCAGGGTCAGCGAACCCTCTCCGGCAGGTCTCTCTCTGTCTCCACGCCAGGTTCACTTGTGGGCCGTTGATGAGAGTCACGTGACTGATCAGGAGTGAGGGTGACAGAGTAAATAGATGAAGTCAGCGAGGAAGAGGGTGAGAGCATGAAGGGTAGTAGGCCACGGGGAGGGTCTACATGGGAGTGAGGTGGGAACTGGTGGAGGGTTGTAAGCAGGCGAAGGCTAGCGTTTGATCTCGTTCGAGGCTTACGCCAGTTGAGACCAGGCTGTAGGGCAGCTGGAGTGGAAACAGAATAAGGGGGTCGCTGCAAAAACCAGGTGGGAGGAAGCTGGTAACGTGCATTAGGGAGCCTGGTTGTTCACTGCACGCAATCCCAGATTGCATCCCACTATGCAACATGGAGCAGGGAGCTCTGGTGGCCTAGTGGCAAGAAGCTGCGCTGCAATCCCGAAGGCACGTGGTTCGAGGTCACCAGCTGCTCCGCTGGAGAAGGATGGGCCGTCTCCTCCAGGGCGATTAACTACCTCTGAAAACCTGCCAGAAGGTCAGTTAGGGGTCAGTCGTGACTCAATGGTACACAACAACATGCAATATGGTGGCCCAAGATGGCAGCTGTGAAGGTGGCCTAATGTGGTAGGATTCTGGGTATTTGTGTAAGTTAGAAGGCAGACTGGTTAATGCAAGTAGCTAATTCATTGAGTTGGAAACTGGAAGGTTGGATCTTTGAGTCCACTCACAGATACTTCAGAAGAAAGGACTTGAGATCTACTTCTGAAAAACCTTATGGAATTGGTGTTTGTTCTATTGTTTATGACCTCGACAGCAGCAACTAAGATAAAATGAATTAAAAAACCAAAACAACCCACTGGAGCACAGTTCAACTCTGACACACACACGAAGTCAACACACATCCGTCAAGTTGACTTGCTGCTGGCAGCTGGTCTACTGGTAGCAGGCGGAGCAAACAGAGCCCACTGATGAGTGGATGTGCACTGGGACAACAATGTGGATGATGCTGGAACAAACGACTGGAAGGATGGGGCTGTGTACCGAGACAGGGGCGCTTTGAGGAAGAGGAGGCTGAAGAAATTCAATCCCATGCTGAGTCATGGGGATAATCCTTTATGTTTTCCTAAGACATTTAGTTTTGCTTTTCACATTTATAAGTCTTTAATCCGCGTGGAGTTGATTTCTGGTTTTGGTGTGAAGTAGGGATTCATTTTTAATTCCTTCTTTAGGAAGATTACTAATGGACTGAGCACCAGCTGGTGAATAGCTCCACATTTTCCCGGTGACCTAGGGTGATGTCTCTGTCATCTGTTCGTGATATTTATGGTAAACCAAGAAACCAAGTCTGCTGCTGAGTTGATTGTGACTCTTAGAGACCCTGTAGGGTGAAGCCAAACTGCCCCACAGGGTTTCCATCCCTGTGATTCTCACGGAAGCAGAGCACCACATCTTTCTCCCAAGGAAAAGCTGTCAGCTCAAAGTACCACCTTGTAGCTGGCAGCTAAGTGTTTAACCATGACACCACCAGGGCTCCTTAACATATTTAAGAATGAAATTGAAGAACCATTTGTTAGGTTAAAGAAACCATGATCTCTCTCTCTCTCTTCCCCCCCTCCCTCTCCCTCCCTCTCCCTCTCTCCCTCTCTCCCTCTCCCTCTCTCTTTCTCTCTCTCTCTTAAATAATAATAGTAAATCCAGTACTTTGTTTTACCTCTGGTTTTAAGAGGACTTTTCCGGAAGCTTGAAGCTCCTTACAGTCCTCTCTCAGTTTTATTATCCTCCTTCTTGCCATGGGAACATCATCCTGACTTTTTGCTACTAACTCCTTTGTTTTTTAAAACATAATGTTAGTCCCAGTGTATAATCCAGGGCTTTGAACTGACTCACAACCATTCATAATTGCCATCATCAACAAAGGCCGCCTTCATGTTGCATAGCAACCAGATCTGTTGCCCTTGGCATTTCGACCTGAGAAACCACCGTGTCAATCAAAGTTGGTGCCCGATCACCCCACTTTGAAGGTGGTCTAAACTCTGCGTGCTGACAGGAATCAAACTTCCCTGACACTTTCAGGAGGAAGGATTGTGGAGGGACTTTTGTAAAGGAAAGTGACAGCAATGCTCCGTTAAGTTTCTGTGGG